TGCTGCTGTGTCAAACTGGAATTTCTCCCACTGCGGATTAATAAAGGAATATCTTATCCTAAAACCTCTTATCTTTGTGCATTTTTCACATGTTTGCAGGAGGAGTTTGACAGTATTGAGGAAGCTCTGCCTGACACCGACGTCCTCTACATGACGAGGATCCAGAAGGAGAGGTTTGCATCTGAGGAGGAGTACAAGGCTGTAAGTGAACTCATGTTTCATTTTATCAGCTGCTTTTACTTTGTCTCTTCAGATTACAGCAGAAAAATAGACATAAGACATTGTTAAATAAATGTAAAATTATATCCTTGAAGAGTAAGTCAGTTTTTCAAATCCTAAATCTTTTTTTTAGTTGGTAATTATATATACAGTCACTTTATTACTACTGATCTTGCTCCCATTTTGTAGTGTTTGTTTTCCTTTAACTGTGTCCTTCAGACCTTAAACAAAGTGGAAAATTGCACACTGACATTTGTAAAATAAGAATAAAATATTAGAGCAAAAACGTGAGTTCAAAAAATGATAGTAAGCTCTGGGTTCTGAATGTAGAAGCAGGTGATTATGAATTCTATATGAATATGAATATGAATAAGCTTTGTGACTCTCTTTTTTTCTTTCTCAGTGTTTCGGCCAGTTCATCCTCACCCCTCACATCATGACTGTAGCCAAAAAGAAGATGGTAGTGATGCATCCGCTGCCCAGAGTCAATGAAATCAGGTGAGATCCGATCAGCACAATCAGACATTGTCACTCAACTAGCTGAAACTCGTCTTGGAGGTTTTGAAAATCATTTTATTGGACAATAAGGGATGTTTCAGATAGCTTTTACCCAGTGATGACAGAATTATGGATTTAAACTTTAATAGTCGAGACTGTGAGTTCATGTTCGGCCTCGGAAACAGCAGTCGACAAAACAATCTCCCCACAAGGTCTATCTAGTAGCTGTGGGGAGATTGTTGTCAACAAGTTCATTTTTAAGAGCTGCAGGGATTCTTGTGTAAAAGGTGAATTTGATAGTTTTATAGTGTTTTTCCCACTGAAACAAGACAAACACAGCAGTAGTCTCATGTAGCGCTGCATCATTTTTATTACTGCTGCTGATTATTTTCTCTAACGCCCGTCAGAAGTTCCCAGAACTCTAGGTGACGTCTTCATATTGCTTCTTCTGGCAGACCACCAGTCCTAAACCCGAAGATATTCAGTTTACAAGGATATAAAACGGAGAAAAGCAATGAATCCTCACATTTGAGAAGCTAGAACTGGTGAAATGTTGGTGTTTTTGCTTTAATAAATGACTTAAATAATTCATTTTCAATCAGCTAATCAACGAATCAACTAATGGTTGCAGCTGTAGTCATGGGAAGGCTTTTTTTTCTCATCATTTCATGCTGATATAGCGATATTTGTACTAATGGTCAATTTGAAATATACTTTTATTGACTGTTCTACTACAGAGAGCAGTATTAAAGTCCTGTGCCTCATTCATGAGCTCAAACTTATCCTCTATTTCACCTTTTGTTGTGTTTCCTTTGTGTTTGTCTCTCAGTGCGGAGGTGGACACGGACCCGAGGGCGGCATATTTCCGTCAGGCAGAGAACGGCATGTACATCCGAATGGCCCTGCTGGCCACCGTACTGGGCAGATAGATCCACGTTCTGCATATTTGTAGCACAAATTGTTTAGAGTAATAAGTGTTAGACACTGCCATTTCCTTTCCTGAAATCTGTGGGCTTCTTATATCCAGTCCTAGTAGGGGAGGTAGTAGAGTTAAATGCAACAATAAGACTCAGTCATAGTTTCTAAAGTTATATTACATTGTAACACGATCCTGCTGCTCTTCTTCAGTTTGATAGACCACGACTTGTTTTTCTTTTCATCCATATCTCACCTGCAAGAAAACTGTATTTCATTACAGCAAATTAACATTTACCATACACAGCTTCTTCACTACAAATGATTTAGATGTATTTGAATGAGATTGTTTGTGACGGTTAACAGACCATCAGTATTTGTGCGTCAGTGAGCCAACTGGAGGAGCTTTGGAAGAATAAAGGGAGGTGGGCATTAAAATCATCAGCATTGTCGACACTGTGATGTGTTATGTTAGTAAAATAAGTGTCTTGGTAGCTGGGTCAAATGTGCAACCACTGTAACTAAGTTGCTGCACAGCTGTTTGCTCACTCTGCTGTAGGTACATTTAAAGGGACCGGCTCGGATATTAAAAAGGAGAAAACGACTGAGGGTTTGCTCTATTCTGACCAGTAATGGTTGCAGTTAGATTTACTGTATGAAAAACCTTCTATAACATTCCCTTTCTTTCAACATGTAACTGAAAACTGACATTTTCATTGTCTTCGGTGGTTCAGGGGTGATTGCTGTAACTGTTAGTGGTTTCTTCCACCGTGGCAGTTTAGAAGAAAACGTTCTCTCTCTCCTTATTTTATTTTTTTTGCCAGATGGGAATCAGTCATTTAAGTGTTGGTGAATGACTTTGTATTATGTGGAGAAAATAAATAATAAAATAGTTTTCCCTTTGCATTTGACATTGTCATTAATATTCACCACATGAAGCAACGCACCATGAAAAATGTGGCACGCATCCAGTAACTGTTATGATCTGAACTGTTTACTTCTCGAGGCCACTGAAACGAGTCTAGGATGCTCAGATCTAATGCAAAAATAAGTAAATAAAGCAGTGTAACATTTTTCTCCTCATTTATTAAGTCAATCTTAACTCTTTCTGTTTGCTTATTAACACGTAATTCATTTGAGCCTGTAATTGAACTATTATGGCTCATCAGCCCTCGGTCATTATGTGGAGACATTATTTATTTTTTACCTTAGAAATATATCAAATTTAAAAAAATAACCTTTACTCAGTGTTTATTTATTTACTAGATTTGTTCTGAGCTAACTCTATCCAATGATGAAGACTGAAATGCAGCTGCCCAGAAAAAAGCTAGTAGGTTGTCCTTGAGTTAAGATTATTTTGTAAAAAATTTCAGAAATAATAAAGATGTTGATGGACCTTGATGGAAAAATGCCATCACTGCTGTTGGTTGTTGGACTTTTTATATAACTGTTAAATATTTAGCAATAAAACGGAGCAATACACTGTTAATAACACAGTTTAAACACTAATTTGCATTGATGGTAAAGAAGAGAAGTACAATATTCAAAGCATGTGATGATTTTAAAAAAGAAGAAGTGGGGTTACAATAAATGCTGCATTCACTAACTGTCAGAAAACTCTAAATTTAATCTCATTCACAAGGGTGCGTGAATGACTCAGCAAAGTTTTAAATATTTACACAAAATTAGATAAAATGACAAGAACAAATGAATATATAATAAATGTGTGTTTCTGTGTGACACTGGAGCTGCTGAGATGTTTAAGGACCAGATTGAATATACCTCAAGGCTTTTAATTCCCCGTGCTTTCCATGTTATTGGCTGACCTCCTATGGAAATAATCTGTTTAACCGCTTTTTATTCTTTGTTTAAACTTATATTTCTATGTATATGTGCAGATACACAGGCTAATTTCCCTTAAATATGCAACCTTGGATGAATAAAACACTTAAAACTGTCATTACAGCGTCTGTATGCTCTTCTGCTCCCTCTGTATTCTTCCGCTGCCGCACATGAGCTAATTTCACTATTTAATTGTGAAATTAAGAAACATCTGATTTTGACAGTGGCAGAAAGAAGGACCCTGGACAACGCCCACCACCCTCTGCACAACACCTTCAGCAGCTAGAGGAGTGTGTTCAGGTGGCAGACTGCATCAGACTGTACAACCAGCTCTCAGTAAAGGCAGGGGATAATAGTATAATAACAATTTCTACCTCTATTTGCACTGTTTTTACTCCATTTCACTGTTTACTGGTACGTACTGGTAATTTTAATATTCTAAATTATATAATATTGATCTTTATTTATTTATTTATTCTATTCTTTAGGTAGGTTTTTTAATTTTAGCTTAATGTATTTTAAAGTATGTTTGGTAATTTAATCTACATATTAAATATAGCATAGGCTAAAATAATCTACCCAATCTAATCCATCTTATCTATCATATCTATCTATCTATCTATTATTATCTATCTATCTAGTATCATCTATCTATCCTATCTATCATATCATTGAGTCTCATCTATCATCCATCCATCTATCTCATCTATCTATCTATCTATCTATCTATCTATCTCGTATCTATCTTTATCTATATCTCTTCTATCTATCTTTATCTATCTATCTATCTATCTCTTCATTATTACCTCAAGTGCTTAAAAGTTGGATTTTTCGACGAAACCCTTGAAGGCATCATCTCGGCCGTCTTGGTTTCCTGGAAGGAGGCCTCAGCCAATCAGAGCGCTCGTCCTCTGCCATACACACACACAGCGACCCGGCGGCCGCAGACAGACTCTGGTTTCTCCGCCACCGGGAGACAAAATGAGCCTTTAAACCGAGAGTTAAGACATCAAACCGGATGCCTCTATGATCCAGCTAACCTTAAGAGACATACAGCGTTCAGTTTGCACAAGGTAAACGGCATTTTATGTTTTTTCTTCCCCCGGCAGCTCTAAATTAGCTAGCACGGTGGTTAGCCATGGTCACGTACGCCGAGGTCCATTCAAAAATGTGGCACTTTAAGGTTGACAGGTTTCTCAGCAAAATGTGGTGTTGCTTTACGACTGAGGAGCTGTATTATTGTTCTGGACGTTTTGTAAAACGTTAAGATGCACTTTCACGTCGGGCATGTCACCTGAACACCTTTTTAAAACGTGTTTTTTTAGTGTAACACTACACAATTGGAGGGCGGTGGCAGCGCACAGTTGTGAACGACTGCTGGTGGGGATTCGTACTCGTGTTGAAAGAGGATGCTGCGTGCGTGTGGTTGATGTGTGCCGAATTGTAGTTTCTGCACATAAAACCTTGACTCAAATGTTATAATTTGCATCCTTACCTGTGTGTCGCGCCTGCACGCGTGGATGCATTAAAACGCTTGAATTGTAAACGCAGTTTGGTGTATCTTTGTCTTCTCGCTGCAGCAGTAGTGGGGCTACTTCTGGCTAACAAGTAGCTCAATGAAACGGGCCAAAGAGTACTATCTGACATTTTTTATACATGTATTCATGAAGTCTAGCCTCAGATAAAACACTTTTTGTGCTTTAATGTCACCTTAGGTATTTTTTTTTTTAGCAGTTTTAGGTCAACTAATGGCCTAAAAGTCACCTGTCAACACACAACATGGCAGTTTTCTTTTGATGGTTGAAGAAAGGAGCCAGAGGAGGAATAACAAGGAGTGGATAAGTGAAATGACTTGAAAAAATCTTGACCTGAAACATTTGTATTCGTGAATGCCGGACTGTAAAATAGAAAGTATTTCTCCATGTGCAGGGAGATTAGCAAAGGATTAAAGCTGCACAAGGACAAACAGACGACAATCACGAGGCATTCCTTGGACCGTCAAACCGGACCGGTATCACCAACCCGGCCCGGTTTCTAACCCACACCAGAGTCCATTACTGTATCAGCTCACCTGTCTGTTACAGTGTGTGATTCCCAACCTGCTTTACCTTTACATATTTACTCTGTGTCTCAGCTTTAAGTCTATTTCTGTCAGGAAAACTACATTAAACTGTTTGCTGGGATAGAATGTACGATTTGTTGTTTTAAAACAATACAGACATGGAATTGTGTAAAAATAACTAATAATTATAGTAAAATAATCCGCTTAAAATACGTCTAAACCACCAGTTTTACACAAACTTGCTGCCGTTCTTGTGTTCACTGTTAAAATCCATTTAAATGTCACTTATTCAGGGGTCGCCGGTTTACTCGCTGATATATAAAAAGGGTTGGGAACTGCTGTGTTTCAAGGAGACAAAGGTTTGGATGGTAAAACTGGAGGAAAACCTCCAACATCTGCCTGATCTAATGACCTCATTGTGAGAACAGAGGCTTTTTGTTGTTGCTGCACTGATTCAAGTCTTATTATAAGTTATATTAATAATAAGAAGAAGATAGATGTTGATCATTTAGGTTATAAAAGGTATTTGTGTCTCAGTTTCTGCGATCCCAGTACTGTTATATGGACTCTACTATACAGAAATATTCAAATACACTACGTGGAAATGACACATTTCTGTGAAGGGGAGACTTGAGGATACCCATAGACCCTGTTTTCATTCAGATATCTTGAGGTCAGAGGTCAAGGGAGCTCTTTGCAATATGCCCATGCCAACTTTGGAGCCATGTTCAGCCCGTTTCCCACGGTTACCAGCGGACGGTCGGGTTTCTCTTCAGTCCAGCTTTAAAACGGAGCACCTGAAACCTGTTCTTCTC